ATATATTTATATTTTTTTATGTTAAAAATAACTCTTTTTATAATCTTAAAATACGTAGTATTTTTGTGTTAACCGAGTTTGATTAACACAATCCTGTATTTAAACTTTTTATAGATCTATTCCAAACACCTGGCATCACCCACGAAAACACAATAAAAATGTTATAATGAACTAATGCTTTGTTATGGTTAGATAAATAAAGTATAATTCACTGGCAGTACAGGAAACATTGTTGGATGGTTACAATACTATAGAAGAATGGTCTGCCATAGAAATTTCAGGACAATAAACTAACAGTGAACCCATTGGAATGAATGAACTCTAGCGACAATCGCTCTACTTTTGATACAACACAGAAATATAGCCAGTAGTTTTGCTTAATTTTTGTAAAAGTAAATTGAATTATTGACTATTTCAAAATTTTTAAAACTGATTTGATAGACAGCAGCCAACAGGAATCACTTTCATTTCTTGAATGTTCTGCAAAGTGGTAAAAATCTTCGATTATAATAGACTCCTCTCGGAGACACACACGGGATGCTATTCTTAAGTGTAGGCTGTAGATCTACTTTCATAAGAAGTAAGCACAGGTGAACAGAATAAACACTTGAGTTAATAAAGACAGTTAAATTTACAAAAAATGCTTATGATATTTATAATAATTAACATAACGTTACATACAATTAGCATAAAACGTAGTTACATGTAATCTTACATTTAGCATTGTTTTAGATCGCTCACTACTTTTTCTTTATTATTATAACTAACTATTCTATACATTTTAGTCATAACAGTTAAAATGACGTACATAGTATGTCATTAACTTGCACAATTGTGCCACAATAAAACCCCAAAAATATACATGACTCCGTTATGTGGAAATTGATCTATGAAGCAATAAGTTTCGTAATAATGAATACATAAGTCGATAATAAACTCCTGAATTACGCAACGAATTGCGTCAATTTTCATTTAATAAACGGAAAATATTTTAAATTCTGCCCTATCGAAAGTTAAATTCTAAAAGCACAATTAGCCCAAAAATTAAGGAAACTTGGACAAACTGGGACAAGAGGACGAGAGTGATAAAAATGTGGACATAATTCATGGACAGCCTCTAATTTATAATCAATTATTCAATAACTATAATAACTACATGAAAAAAATATATATTTAACAGGTGTGTTTCCCTTGTCGAAATAATGTACATTTCCACACAATTTAATATAATTCCTACCATTTTTTATGAGAAAACGTCAAAATGTCGTCAAATTTACGAAAAAATATATAGTACTGTTTCGACAAAACGAACGCACTTAATATAATTCAAGTATATAAATTTTTCTATAACAAACAGTAAGAAGAATAATTTACATTTAATTATTAAAATAATAATTTAATTACTTTTTAATAAATTCGATTAAAACATATCAAGATAAAAAATCTAATGTATTTATTTATAAATGATATAATAATCCGATAAGGTATCATTTGTCCTAATTTAAAAAATTGTCTGAACTAAACTAACGTCTGAATAACCAATATGTTACATTTCTTGAAATTGTGAGATTTATGATTTTCCCCCCAATTTACAGAATAAAAAATATTTTCTAAAATTGTATATTCTTATATTTCTAAATAATAAACGTTTTAAAAATAAGTTGATTAACATCTATTTTTGAGAAAATTAGTTGAAGTGAGAAATTATGAAACACACGAATCATTTGTTTCAATGTTATTGCATAAATTTTGCATAATATTACACTGATAAGACGGTTTTCTCAATGATTTATTTCATTTTCGAGCCTATTCAGAAGTTTTTTCAGCAATGATGTTCATTGTTAATAAAAATTCATAAGGCTTATAACGTTATGTTATCTTGAAGTTTAAGCAGCTAAAAGTTTAGACAAGAATAACAAATATATGTTTATAAAACATTTTAAGCTTTCTGAAAGGAATTGAGGTCAGAAAAACCACTTGATAAGTTCCTAAGTCTGATAACATTAGCATTGAAATATTGTTCAATAGATAAAGTGTATGACTTGATAAGAATGGTAATGCTCTTTTAAAAGTAACTACAAGAAATGCTGTTTGTTGGGACTTCATGTCAATTATTCAATAACATTGGATATTCTAAGAGACGGTAGATAGCGCATATAGTTTGGACAGGCATTTATTTTGCGTATTTAAAGAAATACTTGCTGAAAATGTAATAACGTCACCAGCTTGTTATGGTTAAGGTTTAGTCATATTTATAATCGGGGTTGGATTTATTTAAATAGAGGTCTTAGGACACTAATAGTTGTGAAGGGCTTTGTAGAGACTAATGCTCGTGAAAATCTACTTATATTAATTAATCGATTTATAGAAATCTACAATAAAAACATTTTCTGATTGTTAACTTCAGTTTCATTTCAAAAATCATAGTTACTTATCTATAAAGCAAACACAACACAGTTATAGATTATATTAAGAGTATTTATTTTCATCAATAAGAAATATCAGATCCTGTGATATTCGAAGGAAAATCAGTAGATATTGCCATCGTCGTCATAACATCGTTATGAATTTGGGTATAAAAATAAAATGCAGTGGCTAAAAGACCTGTTCCAAGAAGATCCCCTAATGCGGTTAAAAGCGGAATTGCCGAATTATCCGGATCGATCTTCCACCTCCACATCACGTGGATCATTATGTGAGCAATGTACAATAAAATCGCCACCTGAGGAAAAGGAATTTTGTTAAAAACACGGTTTTAACTAAACAATTACGAGAATAGGAATTTATGAAAATACCTGTAAAAGAGTGGCTACCAAATAAATAGGTAGAAAAACGGGTGTGAGGCTGGTTTGGCCACGTTTAATTAAATGAATACTGTAAGAAAATATCAAATGTCCGGGAATCACCATTAACATGAGAATTTTAGCTGTGCGTGAATGATCATCTGAAAATAGGACACACCAGTTAAATTATATTTATAGGCAATATTTGTAATTAAATGATCATACTTTTTAAAACGAAAAATTTATTTCATAAATATTTACGTTTTCCAAAGAAAGCTGAACACGGAAGAATGCATATATCGTTACTATTGCTAGGCAATATTCCCAACTTAGATCTTTTATGAAAATAAGTAGCGATGCGACTGGCTTGAACTGCAACTAAATTTCCACCAACTCCTAAAATACAAAATAAATCTTTTAGAAATTAGACGATATTTACAACAGTTTGTAAGAAAGAATGGAATGAATACCGTTTATAACGGGTTGAAAAACTGCCATTCCTTCGTAATCTTTGATAGCGATTTCTAAAATGTAACCTCCCGCACTAGAATTAAACTTAAGTAAGATTATCATATTATTTGAAAATATAAAATAATTGCGTTAAAAGAAACAACCATTTCTCTGATAAAAATGTGAAAGTATTATTTTAGAATTAAAAAATAGTGGGTATGCCTGTCCTCTGGCAAATACAGTACATCAACAATGTTAATGTGAAGCGGCTAAGTAAGAAAATAAATAACGTAATACATTTCGTATGAAACGAATTGTGTTATTGGCTTGTTTACTTAGCTTCTCCTTGTCTGGATGTACTGTACTTTCCTAACCTTTCAATGAAATTTCATTAATTTATGCACATATATTTGAAAAATTATTTCGTATGTGAGACAATATAAACATTTTAAAAATACCTTAAATTAAAATAATAGTCGTGCAATTAGTTTTAAACAAAAAAGTTAAAATTATTGTCATATGTAAAATAAATTTTTGAAGTAATAGTTACTGAATTGGTTTAGAATTTCTATTATTAAACCTTTCGCTTTACCTTGTGATAGCAACAGCAGCAAGGACAGGGAACCATCCGGTTAAAATCAGTTGACTTGTATAGATATTTCTTCTAGCAAAAATTATCCAAAAAGGAACCAAAAAAATAAGAATTCCTAAGATAACAGCAGGAGTGATTACGTTTTCTAGAAAATTTTTAAAATATCAATGTTTAGTTGCATAATAGCAACATTTTTGGAAAACAATGAAAATTATAGTTATACTTTCTAATTTTATAATTTACCTAAATTCGAATGGAATTTTCTGGCAATAAGTGCCAAAATTCCTAAAGTAGTGATATCTCCCAGAGAAGCAGCAACAGGCGTTGCGATGTTGTCGGGATTTATTTTGCAGCGATGAGATATATAAACCACTGTTGTAGTTATTGTACCTGGAAAATTCGAGTGTTTGAATGGATAATTGGACATAATTTGAATAGAAATCAGAAAAGATCGTTTAGGTACTCTTACCTAATCCAACAGTAGTGATGGCCGCTGTCGAGACGCTACTGCAACCTATTAACAAAGCGTGGCGATAATTGAAATTTCCGGTATTAACTAGATTCATAATTACAGCGAATGCGGCCGTAATTAAACCCATAACAGTAGCTTGAGCCTATCGAAAAATACATTTTTATGTACACATTTTTTTTTGCGTAAATATGAAAATTAAAAAAAAAACTAATTAAAAATATATGTATTCAAATATTATATGAAAACTTTTGCTAGAGATTGAAAAAAAATATCATAATTTATTTTTTATTTTAATGTTTCAAATTTATTGTTATTACGAAATTACAACAAAGATCTGATAACTTATCATTAGGACATAACCAACTTTGACGTAATGATACATTGTCAGATTTTTATTGGGCTATAATTAGGCTAATAAATATATTACAGGAATTTGCTATCAAATTAGACAGAGTCGCCATCTATTAAACAGTTTAATAAATAATTAACATGCAATATTTGCAGACAAATTTTCCTAAAACATTAAAATAGATCATTTATTTTTAATTGCCTTAAACGCTGTTTAGAAAATCAATTAGGTTACTTTTCAGTAATGAAAAATAATTACAAATGGTTCTTACCAGTTTCAAAGCCATATTACCCCAACCCATTATTAAAACGTTTCTTATGGAATCTAAATTACCTAAATTAGCCTAAAAGAGGAGAAAAAAGAATTATTTCTTAAATTATTTTTTGAAATTATATAGAGAAATATAATATTGAAATTTACTTGAGTAGACAATCTTGATGCCAGAGTCATTTCCAAATTTCCTTTTAAACCCAAAAGCGCCGGCACAACAATAAATAATTCGCTAACGTCCACGAAAACATCCCAATTCTGTGAAATAAATATTTAGTAAATTTAGCTAATTAATGATTTAAAAAATTTATTATTTTTATAAAGAAAATAAATTTTAGAAAAAAACAAGTGGATGCAAGTATTGTAGAGTAGGCTAGCTACCACTGTCTTAAATATCAGAAAATAAAACTTTTTGCTATTATTAACGACTTTTGAGACCTTTTCTATGTTGTAATTTTGAAAATCTTCTAAGGAATTCAAATCAAATTGGTGCAAAGAGATATGTTTAGTTTTATCGCATTATTTTCAGTCCATTAACCATGTGTGGTGCGAAGCAGCAGCTGTAGATCAAATAAAAGATCTAAAATAAGATAGATAAGACATTCACTTTGATCTTTAAAATAACTTAATATTTCTTTCTCCTTTGTGATTTAAGAACATAATAGTAAATATATTTAATACTTCAAATAAATTTTGAATAGTGAATTTTTACAGAAGTAAATTGAGATTTAAACTGCAATTTAGTCGAAAATTATAAAATTTTCGACTAAATTGCAGTTTAAATAGAATCAAAAGAAAGTTTAATTAGAATCAAAAGAAATCTCCAACTTTATAGAATCAAATCCTTCTTATAAGTTAACTCTTTAAGCTGTAGAATTAAACTTAATATTGAACTTCATAATTCAACTATATTTTATAATTAATATTAAATTTTTAGGCATAATCACTCGATTGTATATATAATCTTGAGATTTAACATTGCCATATTAACAACCAGAATGGTTTCATTTTTTAAAATCCTAGTATTACAAAAATTATATTTTAAAATTTATATTCAATTGCAGTTTTTCAATATTATTATGCTTAAAGATGACCAAAATTTAATTTTAAATTGTACAATTAAAATACATTTTTAATTTGCAGACAAAATTCTTTTGATTAAACTGATGATTGATCCTAAGATAGAACCAAGATGTCCATTCTTCAAATTTCATTCATTCTGTAACATGGACTAAACTCTTATTCTTTGAAAATTAATGTTGTCCTAATTATTATATAGACTACATAACATAGTGGTCTCACATAAAAAAAATTCAAAATAACTTTAGGGTTTGTAAATACAGTCGAACCTATAATAATGATCACCGTTCAACGACGGCCATTTTATCAGGAGCTTTTTTTGAAACAAAAATGCATACAAAATAACCTCGAAACAGCGATCATTTTTGATGTTCCCATCAGTGGCCGTTGTTTAGATGTTTTATCATCATGTATGATTATATTCTAGAGCAAGGGTGGGCAACTTTTTTAAGTGACGGGCCAAATACAATGTGAAATTGCATGTATGGAAGCCAAATTTTTTTTTCGTTTTTACGATTAATAGCTGATCTGGTCAACAATTCGATGTACACAGAAATTGGTGTACTTGTATAATAAAAGCTTATGCAATAAATCTAATTATACTATTATATTATTGGCCAAATGTATTTTGAAAACGTCCGCGGGCCGGATTATATATGTTCGAAGGTCAGAGTTGGCCCGCGGGCTACAAGTTGCCCACTGTTGTTCTAGAGAATCCGAAATTAATGATATCTGCTAATTTTTGTCATAAATTAATATACTTTAACGATAAATTAAATAAAAAAATCTAAGTTTATAAAATTTATACTCCATTAAATATTATAGCTATGCTAATTATACAGAATAAGTAAAGTGCATATTACTTTTGTTACATCTGATAGAATTTCATTGTATATTTTGAATGGTTATTCGTTACCTTTAAACACTCACGATATTTTTTAAATGTAAGATGTGTTTCCTATTGTAAAATGCCTCGAATTTATGCAATTCAATACGAAATTTTCTTCGTTGGCATCTCTAAGAAACGTCATCAGACATCTCGTAAAAGGCGATTCAGTAAAAAAATTTGAAGAATGGAGACTCGCAGGATTCAATCTCGTGTATTCTTCATAATAGGATTTCGGCAGATCTCACGATTAAATTTGCCTAAATACTGTAATAAACAATAAAGAATTAAAGCAAATTACCCGAACAAGATCCAAAACTAAACCTGCAGAAACTGTTCCGAATCCAGCGATTATAAATGGCAAAGATACTTGTGAGAATATGCTGCAAGGAGATTCTGTGTCCTCGTCTTTTCCCACTTCATCGCGTACTTCAATTACTTCTTCTTTTAGTAGGGGCATGATTTCGGTTTCGTATTTTTGTTTAGTGTCCACATTGGACTCTTCGATTTCTATCTTGAAGGAAATTTGTCTATTGATCTTGATGTTAATGAAATCCATGAGCGATGAGTAGGAATCGACCAGCCTGCTGCTGCTTCGAGTTTTTTCGGGTCCTGACATAATCTATCAAAATTAATTATTATGTAAACAAACCTCAATGAGGCAATTCAAATAATTAAATAAAATATTTTAAAAAATTACCTGTTTACATTAAACTTCTTTTCTAAAGAAGGAATAAGAATATTTTCTAACCCATCGATTAAACAATGTAGAAAATCAATCTTCTTCTACTCTCACACTTATTTTGAATTAAGCAGAATGATACTTCGCCTTTCTTCATCGGAGAGGGAATGAAGATCGATACAAAAGTAATTGTTTTATAAGTTTGACTAATCTGGAGATGGACTTTGAAATTGTTGACGTCACTGTGTACTTTGATATCCACGCCTTCTATTATATCAAAACTGGTCGAGACAAGTAAGAGTGACGTTCATGTGATTGGACACGTGCCTACCACACTCCCTTTGACTATTACTGTCGTCATATGTTTTTATTTTTATTATATACAATGGATTTTTCAAACTTTTATTTTATGTAAATGTTCGAAAGGTGTAACGAAATTCTAATCCACAATTCTTTCATCAAATTAATGAATATGAGCCTCTTAACTTTTAGTTTTCTTTAATTACTGTAACCAATTCTTTTCTTTCAAATAAAGATTTATAAAATAAAATGTAGACACATCGTTGTAAAATTACTTTCGTTGATGGTGTTGTAATATTGTATATCTTCATCTTAATTTTTCTGCTAAAATTTAGTATAATTGGTAAATATGAAGTGAAAATGTTTGAGAACTGTTTCAGATCAGAGAATAGGTGCAAGTGTGTGTTAGTGTAGCCAAATTCAAAAATTCTGGTTAGTCAATGCTGTTTTTTAGACTGAAACACTACAATAGCTAACAGGTTATTTGGACATTTGAATCTGAAAATCCCGATCAGTAGATTACAAAGGAATCCTAACAGTTAAAACTTTTTAATCGTGTTGCCACAAACATTTGTAAAAAATAGTTTTATATCATATTGCGTAAGCATCGTCGACTATCGATTGATTAATTGATCAATCGGTCAGTCGCTGTGCCCTTTGTCAATTGACAATTTAGGCAATTTTGATAGAAACTTCTTGGAAAAGAACTTTAGAAATTAAACCTTTAAATTCATAAATTTCTCATTTTTCAAAACAATTGATTATAACTAGAAATTATTCCCTCAAGCATGACGGAATATTTTCTTATGAAAAAGTAAAGATTGAAGAATCGAGAAAAGCTTCAAGTCGAGCTTGACGTTCAGCCCTCGATAAAGCCATTCTTACTCGATGTTGCTTAAGTCGGACTTCACGGCCTTCGTGATCTCGGTTGTTCTTATTCTTTTAGATCTAGAATTTACCTGACCAATTTTACTCTTACGCTTCCCCTAGGCAAAATAGCGAGTCTTTTTAATTCCACGTTTATAAAACAAAGATGAATTGTACTGTACGTTAATTAGATGAGCAATAACACTTTCTAAATAACGGACTCGGACGGATTTCTAATCTATATACAGTATATAAAAATGAATGAATGTCTGTCTGTCTGTATGTCCTTCATGAATTACCACACCGTTTATCCGATTGCCATAAAACTTTGAGAAGTTGTTTAATATACTCCCGCGAAGGTTTCTGGCATAGTACATTTATCCTACAATAGATGGCGCAAGTGTATACGAGCATTTCATCGTGAGTTTGATTTCAAATTGTGAAGACCATTTCCCCCCTCCAAAAAATATCTCTATATATGCATTTGTGAACTGTTATTTACGATATTTGCAATAATTTTTGTTTAATCACTTTATTTCAACTATTTTTTGCTAATTATGTATTCGCTCGAACTTTGTTAAAACCTTAACTGTATCCCAAACAACAGCCGAAGTTGTAGGAGAAAATTTGCCTATTTTACCGATCTAGGGATCCCCCTTTTCCAAATTTTAATATCAACTCACAATAATTTAAAAAGACAAATTACAATAAAACGGTTTATTATCCAACTATCAGAAATTTCACAACATGCCAAGGAAGAGAGGAAGGAGCAATTAAATAATTAAAATTATAAAGGATTTAAAAATATATATAAAAATGGGGAATATCGCACTTCTGACAATCGCTGCAAGTGTGTGGGCTAAATTTGGAGAATCCGTGCTTCTCGCATGGACAATTGTATGTGGCCAGCTCGCGTCCGAAAATCTTCCGATTTATTCGTGTACGCACCAGACAAAAAAACAAAAAATATCATGTATCCACAAGCACTCCAATAAATAAATAGAATTGAAATGACACTTTGAAATGTTTTCCCGATGAAAATGAATAATAATAATAATATTAATATAATAATAAGTGTCAATAAAAATGATAAAATGTAAATTGAATTTTATTATAACGAGTTTGCTTGAATTTCGGTTCTTCTGAGATCTCAGCAATGCGCGACGGGTAAGCTAGTAATATATAAATCTAATAATAAAAAATTATAATAATATTTATAAAAATGTTATAAATAACTTCAAAACTAAGACAAAGTGTATACTTTTTGAATGTTTTTTTATTCCACATCATTTCAGTTGTTATCTAATTAGAGCAATTATTATTAATTCTAATTTTTTTTATTCCTATCGATTTAGATAAGGTGATGCAATTTTTTTTTTTTGCATTGGCAGTTATCAAAGTTGACGCATATTCAGTCTCTATGACGTAGAATTTGACATTCTAAATAATTCGCAATTTATCTAATTCAATATCAATCACGTCAAATTAACTAAAATTTAAAAGTAATATATTCATTTTTTTAATTCTTTTCTAATTTTTAATTGACGTTTAAATCGTTTCCAAAGCTTAGAAGTCATAAAAATTAGCTTAAATTAAAGAGTAAAACGAGAGATTCGATTCTTCTCTGAGAGAAAATAATCGATTCAAAACCTGTATATCATAGATCTGCCGCACATAGAAGATCGATAATGACAGAAATCTCATTGGATTTATGTGGACAGAACCTACTGCTAAGCAAATTGGAATGTTATAGTATTTGGATTGGTTGCCTAGCAACGGTGCTATTGGCTACTGACAATATTCTAAGCCTATATTGTGACCGGTCTATTGCCGGAGGCATTTATTTGTTTCTCCAAGATTGTTTGGTCATTTAATTGGTACCTTAGTAACTCTGGTCAATTCAACCGAAGCGTTATGCTAAAGAGCCATAGCAATTCATTGGCAATGAGGCAAGTGCCAATTTAGTCCACATTTATGTGCCGTGGATTAAAAACTAATGCATTACTACGGGCGCCAAAACACATTGCTACGGTTCTGTTATACTGTTTTAGAAAGTTTTCATTTTAGTTTGCTGTAAGTTTGCATCTTAATTTGCTTTAAACTTGATTAACGTAATGCTGATCAATTGGGTCTAGGTTTGTTTGCTGCGTTTTTTATAATAATATTTTTTTAAAAACAAAGATTGATTGGGATCAATGTTTGGTGTATTTGTGTTCCATTCTTCTATCTTGCTATCTTCTTGGAGGATTTTACTAATTCCTTTTTCTTTCATGTTTTGTTTCTCTTCTATAATTCCTGGGTTCTCTCCAGATCATTGAACCTCAGGCCCAGTGACTTACTGAAAATTTTCTCAAAATTAATGAAATTATGGTTCAACCAAATCTATTATTTTTCTACACAAATTTCCATTCAATTACATGTACTGTACCCATTTAAGGGACAGGATTAGTTATTAGAGTTCTTTTTAGGGTCTTGTTTATACCATACATAAGTAACATAACTCATGTATCTCTGTCCTCGCTGAGCAATAGAAATGCCCTTTTCTGATTAAATGTACAGTACATTCACATTTAATTTACATTGACACATCAGTGCAGTTCTATTATAAGCTAAAACAAGCTGGCATACATGAAAATATGATCTTATATACGAGGTATGCTCTTAAAAACGAAGAAAACAAATGAATTTTACATGTGAGAGCGTTCTCATTAGTTCAAAAATAAGGTAAGTTAGTATGTATAATATTATGAATTTCATAAGACGGTACTTCACATCCTAACATATTACCCAAATCTTCTCATATGTAAAGTATTAGGCTTATGTAAATATGCCAAATATAATTAAATGGTTAAAAAAAAAAACTCGTAAATGTTTTACGTGAAAGAATGTTCTTGATCCATTTTATTAGTAAATATTTTTAGTTACGATAGATCATTTTTCATAGTCAACAAACTTGATAGTGAAGTATCGCGTGTAAAAATACAATACGAGGAAATGTTATTGATTTCACTCCAAGTTGAAATTCGGTTTTTCCAAAATAAATATTTAATGCCTACAATAACTGGTCACCTATTATATTGTATTGGAAGCAATCTTTTGTTACCATTATCTATCGTGTCTCGCTCTAATCTGTTACGATCTGTTTACTTTAAGGATTCGGAAACATGACGTCAAACACGATAGCTTAGAAGAAACACGATCGAAAATATTGTAAAAGATGGAATTATTCGGAAAATAGAAAGATATTTACGTTGGAGTCATGAAGTTTTAATTATCAAAGAAAATATAGAGTGGTTCGAAAGTCAGTTCACCAAATTAATAGACCTTTCTTATATCTTGGTTAATTAACTTTTGGGTTAGATTGTATTGATATATTTTATTATTAGAATGCTTAACATAAGATATCGTACGATTCGAATTTAGCTAATTAAATTTTCTGCTCTTCTCCATTATTAGAAGTAACATCCAAATGCCTCGTACTAAACACTTATTTATTGTGATGTTGATGAATTTTTAATTATGATTCGCATTAATTAATGTCATTTTATACATTAATTGAAATTAATAATTGATGTTCTCTTCAAATTAATTTATCTACAGTAGAATCATGTTGAGAAGTTTTTGAAGGAATCATGGTAGAAAATTTCTTAGTTGGGAAAACTTATGCAAGAATTGTAAAAAAATATCTTTTATTTGTATATTCAATTTTATATCAATACAAAGGTAATACTGTATAACATAGCATAGTGTAATGTAGTAAATTAGTAAATATAATAGTAATTAGTAAAATTGAATGGAATAGAATAATTCAAAACTAATGCAAGTATATTTAGGTTTATTTATATAAATAGATATTATTTTTGTTAAGAGAAAGTTAATAGATCAATGAATATATCATAATGATATTGTTATAAGATTACACTTTTTAACACCACCTTTCTAAAATTTTTAAATTAATTTACTAGGCCCACCAGTGACTGAGTGGTCTTCATACCCTGAACACAGGGAGTTCAGTCATGGATTTGCACCTCGGTCGGACGGGCTGGCCACGTGGAGTTTTCCGGGTTTTCTCCACCTCTGTAATGCCTGAATAGGGGCCAGTTTCCCTTAGATCTCCCAGAAGGCATCCCCCTAGGCAGATCGCCCAAGTGTTGCGTTGCCACAAACAAACAAATCTAGTTAATTTACTATTACAAACATTTGATATAATATAGCAAATGTTGTAACGGTACATTAATTTAAAAATTTTAAAAAGTGTTCTAATTCAGACTTGTAAATTTCAATGTATATTCAAAATTTTATACTTCTGATAAACANCTTTGATTTATAAATATGAAGTGAATTTAATTTAAATTACTTTTATTCGAAAAAATGAAATACTCGTCATATCTTATCCACAAAGATTAATCTCGAAAAATTATTGTACTTTAACAATAATAAATAAGAGAAATCTCGTTGTTTATCTTCCTGTACTTCCGTTTATCTTCTTTCTTCAACATCAATGTTATATATTGCGAAGAGACGGTGGTTACTTTCCAGCATTTTCTTCACTTTCGTGGCAGTTACATCTCAAAAAACAAACATTTACAAATGATAAATGCAATAAAAACCCGTTTCTTATCTATGATAGAGTGTATTTATATTAATGCTTTCATAACTGTATGTATTATCGATGTTGAGTATTATCTAATGCATACAAATGACTATTATTTAATTAACGTAATGATTAAAATCAATTTCTTTATTGATAAACTCAATAATTATTTATTGAATATTTATTTTGTTTTTAAAATTAATGTTTTCTAAAGTGCCGACAATATACTAATTCAAATTTCATAGAAGAATTATGTTAATAAGATTATATAATTTATATATTTAACTCATTCCATTAAGAGAGGGCTTTTCTATGCCTATAGTGGGCTTGGCCAAACTTATAATGGAAACGATAGCCAAGAAGAATGAGTAGCGAGCCTGATCTATCGGGTTCAACAGTTCATGCATAATATATCTGGCTGACCCGGATTCGATAAAGGCAATAAATACATTCTGCAGCTCGGGAAATTCAGGTTCGAATTCCTCAGAGTTGGGTAAACCAAACTTTGGGGAAGCTGGGAATTTTATATGGGAAAGTTGATCCGAATTCCTGTTTCACCCATTATGAACTTGGTAGTCGTACTGTATATACGAATACTTAAATTTTTGGAAATGCTGAAAGAAACCTGTATGCCCTACAAAACTTACCGGCTTTACTGGTGAAAAACTCCCATAAGAGGGTGCAGCTACTCCTTGCGCACCCCCAAATCTGTCCCTGTATAATTTTTAAATTCTATAAGTGTTTGCAAACTCGATGAAGTTTTAAAATCATAAATAAAGTGAGAAATATTTTGCATTATTTGTAAACATATAATGCATGTAATACCGTAGAAAAATCCTGTCACACAGTTATTTAGATTCTTCTGATCGACAAATTAAAAAACGAAAACAAAAAAGTGATTAAGTTAGACAAATTTTGTTCTAGAAATAATGCTGGCGCCATCTAGCGATTACAACGATTAATTTGTTTTAAATTAACGATTGTGTAATTGATCGGACCGATCATTTATGATCTCTTCTTGGGGACAGAGGACATCGAATTTTGTAACGTATTCCTTTGGTTCCATTAATACCAGATGCACAACAGTTTTATTTTTGAAAAACTAGACGGCCTTTTTATCTTCATAGCATTGTTTATAAGATTAAATGCAGCCCCAAGAATTTGTACAAAAGTCTAATGTCCGAAAACCTGAGAGTTGCCTATAAACATTACACATATTAAAATATATTAAGAGAAGTCACTTAGAGTTCTATTGAGGTTAATGAAATACTAAAAACGATCCAAACCTTTGAGGAGTTCAGATACCGAACTCCTCAAAAGTTTACAGTTTGGGAATTTATTACATTATTTCCATTTAAATAATAACATCAAATGTTATAAAAACAAGAATAACCTCCAACCTTAACAATTTTACTGTTAAGGTTAGTTTATTCAACTCCATATTTAAGGGTAAGTTTTCCCATCATGGCACATCTTGGATATGTTACGCGATATACACCGACCGAACCGTCTATATCAAATATAGATCTGTAGCATGATATAGAGATTTTACTCTATTACAATATGTTTAGCGTACAAGTATAAATATATCGATATTTCTGTCTGCTCTAGATCAACCGAGGTATAGCGTATTTATTTAGGGGTTCCCTAACTTTTTTTGAATGTCGATCCCTTCAAGGATTCCTCGACCTTTCATCGACCCTTCTTTTATAATAAAGTAAAATAATACAATAAATAAATATAGTGTGACTCACCATACTTATTTATTTAATCAAACTATTTAGAGTTTGTTAAAGTAAAAAAAGAAATTACGTACAATGGTACATAAATCTATCATGTAGAATTGTATTTAAAAAGGCTCAATGTCTATTCTAGACTTTTATAATAAAGTAGAAATATTTTATTTAATCATAAAAATCTAAAAGATTAAACAGCATTATATACAGCGGAATTTGTGAATTTTTGAGAAATAAAACAATAGATTTTTACAAATAATGGCCGCTAAACTTTCTTTAAAGAAACGATTCAAATTAATATAACGCCGTGTAAATAAATTAAAAAATGTAAATTTTATATAATAACATGTTTATTTATGTTCGTAGAATTAGAAAATATCAGATGCTGTGATATTCATGGGAATGTCAGTCGGTGATAGAGTAGTCAAAACAACAGCGTCATTATCAATTTGGGTATAAAAATAAAATGCAGTGGCTAAAAGACCTGTTCCAAGAAGATCCCCTAATGCGGTTAAAAGCGGAATTGCCGAATTATCCGGATCGATCTTCCACCTCCACATCACGTGGATCATTATGTGAGCAATGTACAATAAAATCGCCACCTGATGTAAAAGAAATTTTGTTAAAAACACGGTTTTAACTAAACAATTACGAGAATAGGAATTTATGAAAATACCTGTAAAAGAGTGGCTACCAAATAAATAGGTAGAAAAACGGGTGTGAGGCTGGTTTGGCCACGTTTAATTAAATGAATACTGTAAGAAAATATCAAATGTCCGGGAATCACCATTAACATGAGAATTTTAGCTGTGCGTGAATGATCATCTGAAAATACAATTCGAATGTTATATATCATTTTAAAAGCATTCTGAAAGTGAAAATGTTAGACATAATATAAAAGGCAACAATTATGAGTAGAGGAAATGTAGAACTCACGTTTTCCGAAGAATGCTGTACAAGGAGATATACATAATTTACTACTACTACTAGGCATTGTTCCTAGTTTGGATCTTTGGTGAAAGTAAGTAGCGATTCGACTAGCTTGAACGGCGACTAAATTACCACCCACTCCTAAAATGCCAAATATAATCGTATATAAAATACTAAATTATGATATTTTTTGCGAAGAAGTTAGAAGAAAAGATCGAACCATTTATGACGGGTTGAAAGACGGCCATTCCTTCGTAATTCTTTACAGCGATTTCTAAAATGTAACCACCGGCACTAAATAAAGAAAATTAGTTATCAGTCATACAGATGTTTTTAGAAAGTACCCAATGCAATCGGCTCAATCAATAAACATTCTGTTGCAATAAATCAGATGTTATTAATTAAATCAATTTAAGATCACCACTGTTTGAATTGGGGCTAAGACAAATATTTAATTAATTTTCATAAAAATGCAATAAGAAAGCTATAAAATTATTATTATTATTGTGTTTCCTACATGGCGTATGTACTGTACCTGTGCCTAGTGTTATGCCAGACCAAACTGAAGACATATGACTAAGTGTGATATATTTGCTGTTGTAAAGCTCTGATGTTTTGAGACTTTTGTATGTGGTAAGACGCCTGTTCAAGAAAGGACTATTGGCACAATAAGTATCTTATCCATTCTCCATAGACACTATTTCGTGAGCGAGTTCTGAGTATTTACTAATTTTTTCAGCGTTTGTAATTTGTATGTTGCCAGTGTTTGGAGAAGTTATGTCTATGATGTATGCGATTTTGTTTTGTTTGATGTTCTTGTTTGGCATAGCAGACTATGTCTGGTCTGCTGTGATATATTGTTTTGTCCGTGGTTATGGTTTGGTCATAGCCCTATATATTTTGTGTGTTATTTTCTATCATCAGGTGTGTATTTGTAGTATGATTTCTAGGTGTGTGTAGTAGTTTATGTTTTGTGAAAGCTTTTGACGTATTGCATTTGCTATTTGGTTTTTAGTCAGTTTGTAAGTAATTAGTCTGTGTTAAACGACCGATGTGATCTGTTGTATAGTCTCGTGCATGATATGGCATTTCTTATAAAGTGTGTGTCTTTTAAGACGTGCTTTCTGTAGTTTCATGACCTGGTGTTGTATGAAAATCACAAAACTCTTATGTACCTTCATGTGTTAGTCATTATTTTCACGCAGTTCTGTCAATAGGATCCTGACTGAGATCTTTAGGTACAGTACCTACCGTGAAAGTCCTGAGCCCAACACTTTTTTGTGGTGTTTGTGCATTTTGTATATTGTATTAGATCCAGGTCATTGTTGTGTAAGTTTAATGGTTATTGTTTTTGTCTGCACGAAAGAGTTACCGCTTTATGTAATTGTAATGTTTCTTGTTTTCTGCAGAAAATCTCTAGCAGCGTCTGTTTTTGTTTGTAATGAAGGTTTAAAATACTGTATCTATAAGGCCTTGTTCTCCCTCTTTTACGAGGAAGAGTCTGACTTTTTATGGATTTGTAGTAGTGTTTGTTCTGTTTTCCTATGAAATTGTTCATTCAAATTATTATTATTTTGTTTTTTAACAGAAAAATAAAAAATAATTACGAAGTCAATTTTCAGGCGGACCCAAAACTGAGTTAACCTCGTTTATTACAAGCAATTCAAGGATTTGTTCAAGAAGGTCAACAATTCGAGCAAGTAGGTCAAAGAATTATAATTTGTGTATAGAACGAAGAAATATCTCGTTTAGAACAATTTTTGCAAAGTTTGTTAATAATAAAATATTACAATAATGCAAAAAATGTAGAGTTTATAATGATTAACCGACTTTTGAGCCACCCTTTATAAACGCAAATAATTGTATTTTAATTATTCAAATCTCAGAAATGTTAAATTATTTAGAGCACTTTGTAATGAAATAATCGTATACCTGGTAATGGCGACAGCAGCAATGACGGGAAGCCATCCAGTTAAAATCAACTGTCTGGTGTAAATATTTTTCTTGGCAAAATAGATCCAAACAGGTACCAAAAAGATTAAAATTCCCATCACAGTAGCCGGAATGAGAATATTGTCTACAATAACAAAATACATATTAAATGAGTAAAAAATAATAAAATAAGAAAAATTTACTTTCGGATTTCTCTAAAGACAAATTAATTTACAAGGATTCTTAATAATTATGATTTAAATATATATGAATCTCCCAAAAAATGGTAATTTTTAGGATAATTTTTATAATTTTAAACGTAAAAATTAAGAAAAGTAGGGAACTTGTTGCACGAATAAAAGTGAAGAAGTAAATAGGATAAACACTAAAAAACTTAGAACATCTTGTATTAGCTAATAATTCGGAGTTATGAGTAACAAACATGGACATTAACAATTACCTGGAGTAAGGTAAAGTTCTCTAGCAATAAGTGCCAAAATTCCTAAAGTAGTGATATCTCCCAGAGAAGCAGCAACAGGCGTTGCGATGTTGTCGGGATTAATTTTGCAGCGATGAGATAAAAAAACCACTGTTGTAGTAATTGTACCTGGAAAATTCGAATGTTTGAACAGGTAATTAAACACAATTTCAATAGAAAATTTGAAATGATCATTTATAATCAAACCTAACTATAATCCATTCTTACCTAATCCAATCGTAGTAATGGCCGCTGTCGAGATGCTACTGCAACCGATTAACAAAGCGTGTTGATAGTCAAAAGATCCCGCATTAATTGTATCCATAACAACAGCAAATGCCGTCGCAATAAAACCCATAACTGTGGCTTGTGCCTATTAAAAATATATGTCAATTAATAACAATACGTTTGTATTTCTTCCATTTTAAAATTATAGTAACTTAGCATAAACGTTATTAAATAAAGAAATTTATTATGTTTACTAAAATCGAACGATCATCAATGTGAATTCTCCAGCAATAAAATCAATTTTTGTTCACGCTTCAGTAAAGAAAGAGGGCGCATTTTATTACATATTCTTAATTAATTATTTTTACATAATGAAAAACGTGGTGTTAATTGTTTAATCTATTCTACTGTTTAGAGAAAAAGTTAGAATAATTTATTTCTATATTCTTAATAATGTTACATTGAGAAAAGTTGATCTTACCAACTTCAATGCCATATTGCCCCAACCCATCGTCAGTGCATCTTTCACAGTATTTAAATTACCTATATTGGCCTAAATAAATATGAAAATAATTATTTAAAAAACTTGTATTTTTGATAAATAACATTGTGAAAATTTGAGTAGCACTTACTTGAGTGGACAATCGAGAAGCTAAAGTCATCTCTAAATTACCTTTTAAACCTAACAAGGCGGGTACAACTATAAATAATTCACTCACTTCACGAAAAACATACCAATGCTGTCAAAATAAATATAAGTAAAGTAAGATAAATATAAGGTTCAAATAAAATTACATAATAATATTTAATCAATTCACTAATTATTTTAATTTATATGTATATAATATTCATTGGATACGCTTTTCAAAACTTTTTCCTGTTTAAATGTATAATTTGTAACGGGGATTTAACTTTCTTCATGATTTCCTATACAGTACTTTATAGGTGTGTGTAGTAGTTTATGTTTTGTGAAAGCTTTTGACGTATTGCATTTGCTATTTGGTTTTTAGTCAGTTTGTAAGTAATTAGTCTGTGTTAAACGACCGATGTGATCTGTTGTATAGTCTCGTGCATGATATGGCATTTCTTATAAAGTGTGTGTCTTTTAAGACGTGCTTTCTGTAGTTTCATGACCTGGTGTTGTATGAAAATCACAAAACTCTTATGTACCTTCATGTGTTAGTCATTATTTTCACGCAGTTCTGTCAATAGGATCCTGACTGAGATCTTTAGGTACAGTACCTACCGTGAAAGTCCTGAGCCCAACACTTTTTTGTGGTGTTTGTGCATTTTGTATATTGTATTAGATCCAGGTCATTGTTGTGTAAGTTTAATGGTTATTGTTTTTGTCTGCACGAAAGAGTTACCGCTTTATGTAATTGTAATGATTCTTGTTTTCTGCAGAAAATCTCTAGCAGCGTCTGTTTTTGTTTGTAATGAAGGTTTAAAATACTGTATCTATAAGGCCTTGTTCTCCCTCTTTTACGAGGAAGAGTCTGACTTTTTATGGATTTGTAGTAGTGTTTGTTCTGTTTTCCTATGAAATTGTTCATTCAAATTATTATTATTTTGTTTTTTAACAGAAAAATAAAAAATAATTACGAAGTCAATTTTCAGGCGGACCCAAAACTGAGTTAACCTCGTTTATTACAAGCAATTCAAGGATTTGTTCAAGAAGGTCAACAATTCGAGCAAGTAGGTCAAAGAATTATAATTTGTGTATAGAACGAAGAAATATCTCGTTTAGAACAATTTTTGCAAAGTTTGTTAATAATAAAATATTACAATAATGCAAAAAATGTAGAGTTTATAATGATTAACCGACTTTTGAGCCACCCTTTATAAACGCAAATAATTGTATTTTAATTATTCAAATCTCAGAAATGTTAAATTATTTAGAGCACTTTGTAATGAAATAATCGTATACCTGGTAATGGCGACAGCAGCAATGACGGGAAGCCATCCAGTTAAAATCAACTGTCTGGTGTAAATATTTTTCTTGGCAAAATAGATCCAAACAGGTACCAAAAAGATTAAAATTCCCATCACAGTAGCCGGAATGACAATATTGTCTACAATAACAAAATACATATTAAATGAGTAAAAAATAATAAAATAAGAAAAATTTACTTTCGGATTTCTCTAAAGACAAATTAATTTACAAGGATTCTTAATAATTATGATTTAAATATATATGAATCTCCCAAAAAATGGTAATTTTTAGGATAATTTTTATAATTTTAAACGTAAAAATTAAGAAAAGTAGGGAACTTGTTGCACGAATAAAAGTGAAGAAGTAAATAGGATAAACACTAAAAAACTTAGAACATCTTGTATTAGCTAATAATTCGGAGTTATGAGTAACAAACATGGACATTAACAATTACCTGGAGTAAGGTAAAGTTCTCTAGCAATAAGTGCCAAAATTCCTAAAGTAGTGATATCTCCCAGAGAAGCAGCAACAGGCGTTGCGATGTTGTCGGGATTAATTTTGCAGCGATGAGATAAAAAAACCACTGTTGTAGTAATTGTACCTGGAAAATTCGAATGTTTGAACAGGTAATTAAACACAATTTCAATAGAAAATTTGAAATGATCATTTATAATCAAACCTAACTATAATCCATTCTTACCTAATCCAATCGTAGTAATGGCCGCTGTCGAGATGCTACTGCAACCGATTAACAAAGCGTGTTGATAGTCAAAAGATCCCGCATTAATTGTATCCATAACAACAGCAAATGCCGTCGCAATAAAACCCATAACTGTGGCTTGTGCCTATTAAAAATATATGTCAATTAATAACAATACGTTTGTATTTCTTCCATTTTAAAATTATAGTAACTTAGCATAAACGTTATTAAATAAAGAAATTTATTATGTTTACTAAAATCGAACGATCATCAATGTGAATTCTCCAGCAATAAAATCAATTTTTGTTCACGCTTCAGTAAAGAAAGAGGGCGCATTTTATTACATATTCTTAATTAATTATTTTTACATAATGAAAAACGTGGTGTTAATTGTTTAATCTATTCTACTGTTTAGAGAAAAAGTTAGAATAATTTATTTCTATATTCTTAATAATGTTACATTGAGAAAAGTTGATCTTACCAACTTCAATGCCATATTGCCCCAACCCATCGTCAGTGCATCTTTCACAGTATTTAAATTACCTATATTGGCCTAAATAAATATGAAAATAATTATTTAAAAAACTTGTATTTTTGATAAATAACATTGTGAAAATTTGAGTAGCACTTACTTGAGTGGACAATCGAGAAGCTAAAGTCATCTCTAAATTACCTTTTAAACCTAACAAGGCGGGTACAACTATAAATAATTCACTCACTTCACGAAAAACATACCAATGCTGTCAAAATAAATATAAGTAAAGTAAGATAAATATAAGGTTCAAATAAAATTACATAATAATATTTAATCAATTCACTAATTATTTTAATTTATATGTATATAATATTCATTGGATACGCTTTTCAAAACTTTTTCCTGTTTAAATGTATAATTTGTAACGGGGATTTAACTTTCTTCATGATTTCCTATACAGTACTTTATATAGGTCTAAGTACTGTACTGTATTCTTTATATAATGTAATAGGTAAAGTACTGTATACTTTATATATACCCAAAAGTCACTTCCAATGAATATACTGAATCGCGAATAAAAACGTGCAGCAGTAAAAAAATTGTTTTAATCGTTCTTACAATACTGTCAATTGATTAACTGACTTTTGACACACTATAAGTGCATTATATATAAATATATATACAGTCGAATCTCCAATAAAGGCCATCTTTAAACGCCAGTCATTTTGTTACTTTTTAATATTCCCGTCAGGGGCCGTTGTTCAGAGATTTTTGACTATATGCATTTGTGAAGTAAATAATTTTATTATCGAAATGATAAAATTTTTAAACTTTATAAAGGCATCTGTAACCCGGGAGTTTGAAAAACCCAGAAAGTTTTCGGGGTGGTCTATTCCTGATATCTTGGGCTCCATCCTTTCCATCCTGATGCCTCTATTGTGTGCCTGGCCCAGGCCTGAGATGGTTAAAAAGCCCTCTTAATGCCCACAGAAGAAGAGTTTAAAAATAATAAATATATTAATTAATTTTCTAAGAAGCCCATAAATTACATATAGGCTAATAAAAACGCAATTGTCACATAAAATAATCCAAATTTAGAATGTAATTCGACTATCTGATGTATTTAAAAACATTAAAAAATAAGTAGAAATTATTTTATCAATATATAAGTTGTTCTACTTTTTATGAGAAATATTACTAAATTCTATAGATAAAATTAAAGATAAAATTTTATATTTTTTTATAATTTAACGGGGATTATTATATAATGACACTAAATAGAAAACGGTACACTGTATTTCAAAATAATGTTATTGCAATTACGTTGATAGCAAATCACGTTCATAAACATTATCTATCAAGGTAAAAATGCAGGTGTATCGATGGCTATACTTTTCCTACTACCTAAATTTACTTCTTTCTTTAAGAGAAAATGTGTTGTTACGGTAGAGGAGAGAGAGAATATTGTCCAGACCAGTGTTCCCCCAATCAGAGCCGGCCCTACCATAGGGCAAACGGAGCAGCCGCTCCAGGCGCTAAATCCCAGTGGGCACCTCAGTGGTAAAGAAAATTAAAGGGTATAAATTAGGGGCAACCAAGGGGCGCCATAAAAGGATCTCGCTCCATCTTAAAACTTGCCTCGGGCCGGCACTGCCCCCAATCTATCTTTCATGACTTTCAGAATTTCGCAACAAACCAATGTCGCAAGATTCCCCTGTATCCAATAATACTTCAACTTGTAAATTAAATAAAGTGTATTAGGTGTGCCATACACATCTAAGTAAACCAGATGACGTGCCGGCTTGAAAAACGATTGGAAATCACAGATTTAGACATGTATTTGTTAGTCACTTTTATAACAATATGTCGATTTTAAGGAAAATTCTTGGTGATGCCTTGGTGAACACAAAGAAAATATGTCAATAAATATAATGATAAATCATTAATACGATAATACTATAGAAATTTCTACGGACGAGAAATTAAGGGTATGTTCAAGATTATTTGGATGTGATGATACGCACAAGCTGATTTTCTTATACTTCGAGAAACATTGAAGAAAAGTTAACATAATTAACTTTTTGCTTATGTAGTAAAGGGACTAATTAGAGAAGAAGAGAAGGCCTGTGCTCGTTGTTCTTTAAAAAGGCCTTTTATTTGGAGAGAGCGAATTCTTATTCCTATTTTGTCACTATGGAAAATGTCCTGATTAACACTGCAACCAAATAAATTACCTAGATAGTTATAAATTTTTAATAAATATATATTTAAAATCGAATATAAGATATCTTATTTTTATGTGTATAAATTACCGGAAGATAAATTATGAGGACATCGTCGAATGATTTCAGTACATAATACTAGCGGATATTCTTCTAATGGCCTTGAATTTACGTCAAAATTATTTTTTTACACGGAATTTCAGAATTTTCGAATAGAATTCCTGATGTTTAAATTAAAGAGAGAATAATATATTATATACTTTTATTTTATTTTCATTCTAGAAGCTAACTTCCACGGTTGCTTCGAATTCTGAACAATATTAAGCGCACAGATGCATTCTAAAAAGTAACATTAAAAGAACTGAATTGATGAACCGGTTAATTGCATTAAAATCTTTTAAATATAAAAGGTAATTGCGATTTAATATATATGAAAATATTTTATATAATTTTTTCCTTTGTAAATTAGAATATTAATAAGAATGTGCTTAGTGAAATTTAAGTGTTGCGCTTGTTTTCTGTACTGAATTATTCATAAAATGCAACACAAACTATATCACTTTGCAATTATTTATCATAAAAATGGTATTTCTTGTTTAAATTTGTCATCATATTACGTTGTAAGCAAACAACTGCTAATTTTTATTGCTTAATTTGTAAGATTATTAATAACAAATACTTTTATAAAGAAAATAATTCGTCATAAATATAAATACTAGATCACGTTATTTGTAACAGGAAGATATATTATTGTATAATTTGCTTCTTGTTTGGATGACTATGTTAATATTTTTCAGTCACTCTGATTGATTATGCCATGGACGGTAAGTCCTGAATATGTCAGACCCCATTCTTCACCACCTGCCCCATTATGGGCATGACCCTCAACGAGGTATCCTCTTACAGGCTAAGAAGATAATTATTAAATTTATCCAGATATGGCTGCCTAACTGCCTACCTCTTGCCATATTACTTTGTTTCGGATCATTAATTAGCATGAATATAGCCCAACAAAAAATTCGGTAGATTGTTTGTAGGGTAGAAAGAGCCAAAAATGAAAAATATATCACATTATTGAGAAAAATGCCATAAGAAACAATAAATTCATTTAGCAGTGTTCATATGATCTGTATAACGTTACGAATTTCATAATATTTAAGAATAGTCCCACTAATTTCTTAAAAGTTAAATCAGCATAGTCTAATTTTATATATAGAAATTCAATTATTATATACAAATAAATTTATGAAAAATTACTGAGTATTTAAAATCTTGTGTATACTAATGTAAGATATTTTATTTAATGATTTTTATTCGAAATTTTATTCAACATCACAATACTAGTTACTCTCTCCTCGTCGATAACTTAAAACCTTAGAACAATTTCACATTTATATACATAAATCATACACAGACATTAATTTAAAACTGCTAAGTACAGAATTTCTGAAATTTTCGAATAAAATTTCACAGAAATCTCTTCAATAACTGCATTTCTTGTTTTACTCAATCAAGTTTAAACAATAAAATGCCTTTTATGGAATTTATATTTTACTTTATAAATTTATTAAGTATAAGGGGGAAATACTTTTCTCAAAGTTATATAAATTGTTGAAATAGAAACAAACAAATAAATTACAACTATGTTTAATGTTCCAAAATGACATTAATGATACTGAATTTCTAAACAGTTGATTAATTATGACGAGAAAACATTAATTTAGTTCTCTCTATATAAACTTGGTACGCATAATAATGACCTAGTTGTAGAGAAAATAACATATTTATCATGATATAATAATATACAAAAAGTGGGTTATATCACTTAGATAAGACAAAATGCTACTACTGTAATTCGTAATGTAATTATATTAAAGAAGCTGCAAAATGGATACATAGGATAATAAACGAAATCCTTATCATACTTGTAGGGAAGAATAACAGAAAATGCTTTAAAGTTTAATGTAACTCTTACCAACGAGTGTGGATAAGATAAAGGTCAAGATGACAGTGAAGGTTTTCCTTTACCGTCATTTCATTACATTAAATTATCGTAAAGGTTAAAACCTTTGCAATCATTTTGTCTGTCTTGACTTCTCGGTAATCATTAAGATAATCATTTCTGGCAGATATCACTTTAACAATAATTTATACAAAAATAATAGAGGTTCGTTTCATTTTCCTTATTTTAAATACTTAGTTTTTTGAAAATATATTATATTATTTTATATATATTATATACATATACATACAAGGGATGGTAACGGCAAAAAATAGATTCTGAGAAAATAATGATAGAAAAAGCTATAGATAGTGTAAACAAATTCAAGAGGTAATATATATATATATATATATTATATAATAAGTATAATTGTCATGATACAAAAACCTTTTATTTAAATGTGAGCATTGTGTTTTGAAAAGACAATCGACGATAACTTAATACATGTGAAATATTGAAACAATTTAAAATTGACTTTAAAATTGAAACAATTTAAAATCTCTTGACTTATATTTCATATTCGTTTATACCTGTATAAGCATTGATAAATTACGAAACAAAAGTGAAAACAAAAGAAAGTATTAAGGAAAGAAATGGAAAGACAATTATCTTAGTGTACAATGATAATATTTTAATCCAATCAACAACAGATCGGAATTTTTCAAATTATCTCTGTCGTTTCTCAAGAAGTTTTTAAACAATTGAGATCATAAGAATTAATTTCTCTTCTTTAATCAAAATTATACGTGAAAACGAAAGATATATTTTTATTTTTACGATTAATGTTTATTTAAATTAATTATACTTGTCTCGAACAATCATAAATGCCATTTATTAATGAAGAAAGCGCTTAATTTATTTCACTTTGATAAGTTGGCTTATTACCAACTTTTCATTTATAGATTTACTTTCCTAGCAAGAGAGAGAAATCGACGCGAAAGTAACCTATAAATCAAACAAGAATTAATCAGTTTGACATCGCATACATCACGAGGAAAGAAAACATTCTATTATGCGGTCAACTTGTAATGAGTACTCTACGACTCTTCTTAATTTTATATAAAACCACAAAAGAAAAAAATATATAACTAGCAGATTCTCAAATTAAAATCCTTTTTGAATGCAGTAGGTCATTTTAAAATTTAAATAATTATTGTATAGGTGATAGAAAAATGTATCACAATAGGAGATCCATGATACGGTGCTGTACATTTCGCAATAATTTGATTAAGTTAAAAAGAAATTGTTCTGGAAGTAATATTTCTTGTGCGCTATTGAAAATTGCTCAACAAGATTGAAGAAGAATAAATTGTTTAAATTTCTGTTTAAAAATAATTTAAACACTTCGTCATTTGTCAATGACAAAGAGTGTATTGTTTAAACAAGTATATCAACATAGTGTGGTTTGAATAGAGGAAAGAGAGTGTTAATATTTTTGCAATTACTAAATAAACTTTTTAATTTAAAAGTGCTTAATTAAAAGTAATTTAATAATTTATTTCAACAAAAATAATTATCCTTACTTGTAATAAGTCCAAGACAAGTCCAGCGCCACAGGTCCCGATTCCTGCGATGATAAAAGGCACGAAGACTTGAAAAGCCAAAGAGAATGTCGTTTCTTCCTTACTTTCGAAGGATTCTTTTTTATCGTTTAAGTTATAGGGTGGAGTCGACGAATCTATGTAGTCGTAAACACCCGAATCTAAACTCAGACCCTCTGCAGTTAAAGTAAACGAGCTATTAGTCATATCGCCCCTGAGACACGAGTCCATACTTAAGATGGATGCGGCTGATTTCTCACATTCGTTTGGCATCGGTATGATAAATACTGCGGAACCATTTCGGTGTGGAACGGTTGTTAAATTGGTTTCCGACATACATCTTTTCAACTGATTGGTCGGAGTGAATTTCTCGAATTCTGTTTTAGGTATTATTTCCGAATTGCAATGCGATCTGATATCTTTCATTGCGATTTTTTCGTTATCGGATTGGCTCTCGTTTATATTCGGAGTTGTATTGTTACCTGTTTGTTTTCTGAATGAAAAAATATTTTTGAAAAATTTATTTTCCGAACTTTTTATTGGTGGTTGGGTTGCGGCATTCATGTCGAAACTCCTTGTCTGATCTCCGGATGCTGTCATTGTGAATTTTTAGAATCTGCAATAAAATAATTAAATTTTTTATTTTACTACATATTAATATAATCAATTGTAAATGAATGAAAATGAATTAATTGTTTGGAGGTGTTCAAACGCCAAGCATGTCTGAACAACACAATCATAGACATTATGAGTTTGCACCGTTCTGATCAGGTGCTGCGAGCAGTGGTTATGAAAAGGCAATGTACTGTACAGTACAAGCGGACAGGCTCTAAACGCCTTAGATAGATCAGAAGAGACGATTGTCTGATTTTGAGACAAGCACTCAGATGCAAAGGTATCTTTGTCTACCTTTCAGACAGGAAGATGCTTCACGTTTCTTCTCGTACCAGGTAACTAGCAAAGACAAATTTTAATGCAAAGCAACCGCAACGTGTCCTGTCATTAGCACCCTAACATTGTTGGCTTCGTTTGCAGTGGTGCTATGACAAAGAGACATGGACTGCGAGGGGTTACAGCGTATTTATTATCTTTAGTGACTAATCTGTTTTGTTTTGGAACAGATGTTCATAGTGTTAAAATATGGTCGACCACTGTTAAACGATTCATTCCTTAGTTACAAATGAATAAAAAATGAATTGATTAACTTTAATTAGTACAAATCATTACAACGGAAAGAAGTAATTAAATTTTTCAACTGAATAAAAACAGTTCTATCGATTGCTATTTAATTAATATGTCTTTTTATTATGCTAAATTGTATAGCAATATTCTAAAAATATGTTAATACACTCTAATACAGTAATAATTGTTAGATATCAATCGCTATCACATAATAGCCTAATACGTAGCAGTAATACAGTTCTCGGTTCATTTTTTACTCGGAAACTTAAGTAGAATACAGTTTTAGCTTTATAATTATTAGTTTTTCTTATTTAAATAATTTTTTCCCATTTAATTATTCATGTTAAGATTATCTAGTACTATATTTATTCATACTTGTTCTTTAACGATTCGAGATTAGAAGTATTAGCTTTGCTTATAGTCGCTACAGACACCTTGGACAAAGCGACTTATTTGATAATCATGAAGAAACATGAGTTTGTTTTTACTATTCTTATTAACTATAAGCATATTTGAAGTGTGGAGAAATCTTTAATTGCATTCGCTGAAAATAAACATAATTTTGATTAAAATTGAAGACTTAGTTAAATTTCCTTGTGCTCCTTTCTTCAAGACGTCGATGAAGGAAAAACAAAAATACTTGATTAGAAAAATAAGCATGATATTTGGCAAAGTGGCAAATATTTTGCTTTTTTAATTATCAAATGATTTGCAGAAATGTTTATATAAAAAAAACAAAATCAATTTTCTTGTTGCTTCTTCTTTTAAAGAATCTTTCTGTTTTTCTCTGACATTTTTCCATTAGAAATCTCTCTTTATGCTTCTATGAAATTTATCATTTTGTATTAATCAGACACTAACAAATATATATATATATATATTACACAATACATATATTATACACATTATTACACTATATATATATATATATATATGTATGTATACGGCTTATATTGGCATAAACATAATACTGAACTCTTTAAATTCCAGGTAAAAGTGGGTAGGAAAGAAGCTTTTGCTTTAATGGACAGTGAAAAATTCAATTTCAGGTTACAGATATACATAGATAAACATTAAAACTTACGAAACAAAATTATGGTAAACATTTATCATACTTTTGACAATAATACAGCTGTTTTATCTATACGAAAGTTTCGCTTATTTATCTAGCTTTAATTAAAGATTCATATTCTTATTGCATTTCATCCCACATATACGAAAAAATACCATTACAGTATTTTTCTATAGACAATCACGAAAATGCTTAGAAGTTGCCAATTATAAGTAAATTAGAAATCTCTGTAAATATGATACGTTTAATTTGTTTATATTCTTCACGATGAATGAGTCAACGATTTACGCATAATTATTATATGTAGATCTTGTTTATTCTATTTTTATAAATTTTCTGCACCGACGTTTTGAAGAAATGAGCTCAAGGAAATTTAATTAACAAAGTAAGACTTCATTTTTAATCAAAATTATGCTCATTTTCAGCGAGTACAATTAAAAATTTCTCCACACTTCATGTTTATATTCGTTTAATTTCTGTAATAAATACAAAGAAACTATTTATTAAATGCCAATAAAATAAAATGTAAATTTTTAATACATAAAAGTATTTTTAAATATATTTTTTTCGAATGTAATTAATTTAGTTACGTTATAAAATGGACATAGACGAATGATATAACGCTAATATTTCATTATTTATTAATTATTGAAGCGAATATCCCTCAAGCAGAAACTTAAATATCGTTTTAACGAAATGTATAGTTTTCTATTATGCCACCAGCAAACGTTTCAATTCTTTCTCAAATTCTGCATGAATTTCTTCAACTGTAAATGTTTACAGTTACTAAATGTATTTACAAAAATATGCTACAATATTTTACATTGTCATACAAATAACAATACATATATTTATAAAATTACAAGTGTTACAACCGTAATTATCACAACTCCGGATGGCAAGCATTAAAATTACGTTAATATAAATTAAAAATAATCGCTTAGGTAACTTCAGATCCGTGTTAAATAACGGGAAATTTATGACTAGTAATTAAAACATAAATAAAAAGTTATTATATTATACTATAATCGATAAATGTAAACAAACATAAGGTGATAAGAAGTTTATCTACGTTTATAAAAGTGCAATATATATATATATATAATATAAGTGTATACAAACGAACGTACAGGTGGGATAAAGTCTAGCGAAAATATACAAAAGTACTTACTAAAAAAACTACAGATACGGCTCTTCGGGCATCAGTTTGTACTATTACACAACCACTACAATACTTTCTCTATTCCAGTTTTTTAAAGTTGCTTGTTAGCCAAGCAAAGAAGTTCAGCTTCAATGAAAGTATCGGCTAAAAAAATAATAATAAAATTTTTCTAAATTTTTAAAATTAAAAAAAATATATATATATATGAAAGTTGATATTGTTTACATTCTATTTAAATACCAAATTTATTTTTTTACCTGTTTTAATTATTTTTGTGGTAGTGATAAATAGCTTATTTTCTGCATTGATTCTGTAATAAGTTTTTATGCAACTTTCTACGCTTCAAGGTCGATCCTAGAAAATTAAAATAAATGAAATTAATGTTCTACATTTAAAAAGAAAAAATACAATTTGTTTTAAAATTTTGGCGTAATTTAATTATAAACGAATTATAAGCGGAACAACGAATGAATAATTCATAATGCTTTAGCGACTTATTTCGGTTTGATTAATTATCTGACAATTGATTTTATTTTTGAAATTTAAGCATGACGAAGTACAGAGAATAATTTTGAACATTTCTATTATTTAAAAAAAAAATTAAAATAATAATAATAATAATACAAATTGTATTAAATTAAACTTAAAACTCCTTAGATACTTTTTTATTAATTTTTGTGATATTTGTTAGAAGTGATGACTCAGGTTTGTACTAGTTTTTGTATTTAACTTATGATTTAGATCATCTTAATATAAAAATAAAATTATTATTTTATTATAGGTTATAATAAAAATAAATATATTTTAAATATATTAATGAAAAAAAAATCTCTCTTAATGGTATAACAAGAGCAAATTATTTTTTATCTCCATTGAGTACTGTTTACACTTTGATTTTTCATTTAAAAAAATCAATTTTAAAGCCTAACAATCTTTCTAAATATTATTATCATAATTAAAATATTAGATAAA